TATTCTATTCTATTCCTTTCTTATTCTATTCTGTTCTATTCTATTCTATTCCATTCCATATTTTCTATTCTATTCTATTCTTTCTATTCTATTCTAATTCTATTCCATTCCATTCCATGTTTTCTATTCTATTCTATTTCTTTCTTATTCTATATATATATCTATTTCTATCTATTCTAATTCCATTCCATTATTTTCTATTCTATTCTATTCCTATTCTATCCATATTCCTATTCTATTCTATTCTATATTCTATTCTATTCCTTTCTTATTCTATTCTGTTCTATTCTATTCTATTCCATTCCATATTTTCTATTCTATTCTATTCTTTCTATTCTATTCTAATTCTATTCCATTCCATTCCATGTTTTCTATTCTATTCTATTCCTTTCTTATTCTATTCTATATTATTCTATTTATATTCTATTCTATTCCATTCCATATTTTCTATTCTATTCTATTCCTATTCTATTCCATATTTTCTATTCTATTCTATTCTATATTCTATTCTATTCCTTTCTTATTCTATTCTATTCTATTTTATTCTATTCTATTCTATTCCTTTCTCATTCTATTCTATTCTATTCTATTCTATTCCATTCCATATTTTCTATTCTATTCTATTCTATTCTATTCTATTCTACTCTATCTTCCATTTTATTCTACATTCTACTTCATTCTATTCTATTCTTTTTCTATTCTGTTCTATTAAAATATTCTATTCTATATTCCATTCCATATTTTCTATTCTATTCTATTCTATTCTATTCTATTCTATTCTATTCTATTCTATTCTATTAATTTTATTTTATTTTATTCTATATTCTACTCCATTCCATTCTTATTCTGTTCTGACTTTGTATTTCTTCAGACGATTCTGAAACAATATATATATGTATATATATTTAAAGAAATAGGTTTAGTCCCAGCTTCATCTGCCAGGTGTGAGCGGCCCCTGAACCCGCCACCCGACAACAGAAAATGCCAATAAATTACCTTGCTGTAAAACTCTTCTTTGTTGCTAGGTTGGAAGTTCAAGCGGGCGTAGGAAACGAGGAGATTAATGAGCTGGCTCAGCGTAAATTTCTTGCTATTCTTGATGAAGTACTGAGGAGGAAAAAAACGAAGAGTTAATTCCAAATTTTCAACCCAAGGCAGATCGTCAAAGACACCAGGAATTCTGGGAGTTGAAGTCCAGCCCTCTTGAAGTTGCCAACGTGGACCTGGCTGTGGAATTCTGGGAGTTGTAGTCCACCCATTTTGAAGTGGCCAAGGTTGACCAACACTGGCTTGGAGGTCAACCCCATGACCAAACCATCGCCCAGAATTCCATTCAATAAACAAAGAAGGAGTTGGATCTGGAAGAACTCTCTCAAACTCTCCCGACGGACTTGGTTTCTTGGGGTCCACAAACCCCGGTCCACAATCTGGTACCCCACCCTCGTCTCTACCTTGGTCTGAAGATCCTTCACCCCACGCTCGTCTCTATCTTGATCTGAAGGTCCTTCACCATAACCCTCGTCTCTACCGTGATCTGAAGGTCCTTCACCCCACGCTCGTCTCTACCTTGATCTGAAGGTCCTTCACGCTCATCTCTATCTTGATCTGAAGGTCCTTCACCAACACCCTCGTCTCTACCTTGATCTGAAGGTCCTTCACCACCACTCTCGTCTCTACCTTGGCCTGAAGATCACCATCACCCTCGTCTCTACCTTGACCTGAAGGTCTTTCACCACCACCACTCTCATCTCTACTTTGATCTGAAGGTGTTTCACCATCACCCTCTTCTCTAGCTTGATCTAAAGATCACCACCACCTTTGTCTCTACCTTGATCTGAAGGTCCTTCACCATCACCCTCGTCTCTACCTTGGCCTGAAGATCACCATCACCCTCGTCTCTACCTTGGTCTGAAGGTCCTTCACCACTACCCTTGTCTCTGATTGGAAGATCCTTCACCATCACCCTCATCTCTATCTTGATCTGAAGGTCCTTCACCACCACCCTTGTCTCTACCTTGATCTGAAGTTCACCACCACCCTCGTCTTCTCCTCCCTCCCTCCCCTAGGAGCTCACCTCGGCGGAGGCCTCGAAGAAAGGCAGGTTCAACCACTTGAGGTACGAGAAGGACTTCACGCAGCGGACCACGTCCGTCGGAGGCAAGCCGGACAGGTGAGGCAGGAGATCTGCGCAGATCTTCTGGAACATCTGGGTCTGGTGGAAGTTCAGCTTCCCTTTTCGGGGTGGGGTATGGAGATAGAGAATCAGTCTTGGGACGTTGGAAGATGGTGGTCAAACCCATAACGGACGTGGGAAAGAACCCTGAGGGTCCAGGCCAGGGGTAGGCAACCTTGCCTCCTTTATGACTGGTGGACTTCAACTCCCAAAATTCCTGAGCCACCATGGGGGAACTATGGCCCCCTTGATGACTCGTGGACGTCAACTCCCAGAATTCCTGAGCCAGCATGGGGGAACTATGGCGCCCCTCATGATTCGTGGACTTCAACTCCAAGAATTGGAAACTAATCAAGGAGAGAAGCAATCTAGAACTAAGAAGAAACTTCCTGACAGTTAGAACAATTAACCAGTGGAACAACCTGCCTCCAGAAGCGGTGAATGCTCCAACACTGGAAGTTTTGAAGAAGAGACTGGACAACCATCTGTCCGAAGTGGTATAGGGTTTTCTGCCTGAGCAGGGGGTTGGACTAGATGACCTCCAAGGTCCCTTCCAACTTTACTACTATTATTATTATTATTATAGGGTTTCCTGCCTGTGCAGGGGATTGGACTAGATGACCTCCAAGGTCCCTCCCAACTTTATTATTGTTATTATAGGGTTTCCTGACTGAGCAGGGGGTTGGACTAGATGACCTCCAAGGTCCCTCCCAACTTTATTATTGTTATTATAGGGTTTCCTGCCTGTGCAGGGGATTGGACTAGATGACCTCCAAGGTCCCTCCCAACTTTATTATTATTATAGGGTTTCCTGCCTGAGCAGGGTGTTGGACTAGATGACCTCCAAGGTCCCTTCCAACTTTTTATTATTATTGTTGTTATTATTATTAAAATAATAGTAATCATACTTCCTGACAGTCAGAACAATTAACCAGTGGAACAATCTACCTCCAGAAGCGGTGAATGCTCCAACACTGGAAGTTTTGAAGAAGAGACTGGACAGCCATCTGTCTGAAGTGGTATAGGGTTTACTGCCTGAGCAGGGGGTTGGACTAGATGACCTCCAAGGTCTCTTCCAACTTTATTATCATTAACATTATTATTATTATACTTGCCATCAAGCCTACCAGAAAAGCACTGGATCTGAAAAGCTACAGCTGTGTTTTCAAACTTGGCAATGTTGAGATGAAATGGAATCCCTCAGCCGGTAGAATTCCGGGAGTTGGAAATAATTATCATCATCATTATTATAATTCCTGAGCCAGCATGGCTCAGTTTGAAAACTCCCCTCAACATGGCTGGCTCAGGAATTCTGGGAGTTGAAGTCCACGAGTCATAAAAGCGCCAAGGTGGCCTACCTCTGTCCTAGGCCGCTTTATGACTCATGGACTTCAACTCCCAGAATTCCTGAGCCAGCATGGGGGAACTATGGACCCCCTCATGACTTGTGGACTTCAACTCCCAGAATTCCTGAGCCAGCCTGGCTCAGCTTGGAAACCTCTCCCTTTCCCCTCAGCAGGGCTGGCTCAGGAATTCTGGGAGTTGAAGTCCACGAGTCATAAAAGAGACAAGGTGGCCTTCCTCTAGCCTAGGCCTAGGCCGCTTTATGACTCGTGGACTTCAACTCCCAGAATTCCTCAGCCAGCCTGGCTCAGCTTGGAAACTTCTCCCTTTCCCCTCAGCATGGCTGGCTCAGGAATTCTGGGAGTTGAAGTCCACCAGTCATAAAAGAACCGAGGTGGCGTACTTCTGGCCTAGGCCTAGGCCGCTTTATGACTGGTAGACTTCAACTCCCAGAATTCCTGAGCCAGCCATGCTGAGGGGAAAGGGAGAGGTTTCCAAGCTGAGCCATGCTGGCAGAGGAATTCTGGGAGTTGAAGTCCACGAGTCATAAAAGAGCCATGGTTGCCAACCCCTGAGTTACTAGGAAAATGAGGGGCCTTCAACTCCCAGAATTCCTCTGCTAGCATGGCCCCCTATACCAGGAATAGGCAACCTTGGCTCTTTTATGACTCGTGGACTTCAACTCCCAGAATTCCTGAGCCAGCATGGGGGAACTTTGGCCCCTTCATGACTCGTGGACTCCAACTCCCAGAATTCCTGAGCTAGTATGGCTCAGCTTGGAAACCTCTCCCTTTCCCCTCAGCATGGCTGGCTCAGGAATTCTGGGAGTTGAAGTCCACCAGTCATAAAAGAGCCGAGGTGGCCTACGCCTGGCCTAAGCCGCTTTATGACTTATGGACTTCAACTCCCAGAATTCCTGAGCTAGCATGGCTCAGCTTGGAAACCTCTCCCTTTCCCCTCAGCATGGCTGGCTCAGGAATTCTGGGAGTTGAAGTCCACCAGTCATAAAAGAGCCCAGGTTGCCTACCTCTGGCCTAGGCCTAGGCCGCTTTATGACTCGTGGACTTCAACTCCCAGAATTCCTGAGCCAGCATGGCTCAGCTTGGAAACCTCACCCTTTCCCCTCAGCATGGCTGGCTCAGGAATTCTGGGAGTTGAAGTCCACCAGTCATAAAAGAGCCAAGGTGGCCTACCTCTGTCCTAGGCCACTTTATGACTCATGGACTTCAACTCCCAGAATTCCTGAGCCAGCATGGGGGAACTATGGGCCCCCTCATGACTTGTGAACTTCAACTCCCAGAATTCCTCAGCCAGCCTGGCTCAGCTTGGAAACCTCTCCCTTTCCCCTCAACATGGCTGTCTCAGGAATTCTGGGAGTTGAAGTCCACCAGTCATAAAAGAGCCGAGGCGGCCTACCTCTGGCCCAGGGTTCTCCAGGGCCGCAGCCCCAGGAAGTTTCCCATTTCCCATCTTTTATATTCCCTTCCCTTCCCTTCTCTTCTATTCATCTTTATCATTCCACTACTAAGAACATCCCTAGGAATTATTCATCGGCAAGACAAATCTGAACAAGCCAGGCTCCACCTAATGTTAAAAATAAACAATAAGCACCTGGAACCATACAGGATCTCCTGCTTGAGCAAGGGGGGAGGGGGGGTTGGACTAGATGACCTCCAAGGTCCCTTCCCACCCTCTTCGTCTATGTCCTAAAAATGAAATTGTAGTCGGACGAGGACCGACCCGAATTTTCCCGGAGGGATTTGGGAAGCGGAGGGGTTTGGGAAAAGAGAGAGAGAGAGAGAGGAAAAGCCGCTCACCAAAGGCGAAAGCCAAATCCAGCAGGACATCTGGCGGGACGCCGAAATGCTTTTGGACAAAATGGTAGGAGATGGCCCGGAGCAGCGGCAAGGACCGGTGGTTGTGCTGGGCCAAGGCGACGGCGATCCGGCGAATGTCGGCCGCAGAGAAGTGGGCGGCCAGCTCCAGGCCCTGCGGGAAGACCCGTTGTCAAAAGCAAAAGAGGACTGGGGGGGGGGGAGACAGAGAAAGAGGTGAGGGGGGGAGGTACAAGATTGGGGGTGGGGGGGGGGAGAGATCCGGGAGATGACATTCCCTAGTTGGGTCACGAGATGTCTGGCGGGAAATCCCCTCCCCCAGCTCAGAGAGCACCATGGGAGCCCCCCCCCCGTCCTCCTCTTCCTCCTCCTCCTCCCGTCTAGCACTGATGATGTAGCCTAGCTGGATCTCAAAATGGCTGCAGGGAAACCCGATAGATAGATGGATGGATAGATATATTCATAGATAGATAGATAGATAGAGTTAGATAGATAGATAGATAGATAGATAGATAGATAGATAGATAGATAGATAGATAGATAGATATAGAGGTAGATAGATAGATAGATAGATAGATAGATAGATAGATAGATAGATAGATAGATAGATAGATATAGGTAGATAGATAGATAGATAGATAGATAGATAGAGGTAGATAGAGATAGATAGATAGATAGATAGATAGATAGATAGATAGATAGATAGATATAGAAGATAGACAGACAGAGATGGATGGATATTGATAGATGTAGATGGATGGATGGATAGATAGGACAAATGGACAGTGGAGAGATAAAGAAAGTAGCTTGAGTGGATGGAATGATGGATGGTTAGATATATAGATAGATAAATAGATAGATGTATGTATAGATAGATACTGATAAATAGATGTAGATAGATAGACTGATAGATGTATGGATGGATAGATAGGACAGATGGACAGTGGAGAGATAGATAAAGAAGCAGCTTAGGTGGATGGATGGATGGATGGATGGATGGATGGATAGATTAGCAGCTTGAGTGGATGGATGGATAGATGGATACATGATAGATGGATGGATGGATAGATAGATATTGATAGATAGATGTAGATGGATGGATGGATATAGATGGATGGATAGATAGATGGATAGATGTATGGATGGATAGATAGGACAGATGGACAGCAGAGAGATAGATAAAGAAATAGCTTGAGTGGATGGAATGATGGATGGATGATGGATGGATAGATTAGCAGCTTGAATGGATGAATGGATGGATAGATGGATAAATATTGATAGATGTAGATAGATAAATTAGCAGCTTGAGTGGATGGTTGGATAGATAGATGATGGATGGATGGATAGATATTGATAGATAGATGTAGATAGATGGGTGGATGGATAATGGATGGATGATAGATAGATAGATAGCTTGAGTGGTTAGAGATGGATGGATGGATAGATATTGATAGATGGGTGGATGGATAATGGATGGATGATAGATAGATAGATAGATAGATAGATAGATAGATAGATAGCTTGAGTGGTTAGAGATAGATGGATGGATGGATGGATATTGATAGATGTAGATAAATGGATGGATGGATGGATGGATGGATAGATATTGATAGATGTAGATGTATGTATGGATGGATAGATATTGATAAATAGATGTAGATAGATGGATAGATGTATGGATGGATAGATAGGACGGACAGCAGAGAGATAGATAAAGAAGTAGCTGAAGTGAATGGATGGATGGGTAATGGATGGATAGACAGATAGATAGATTAGTAGTTTGAGTGGATGGATGGATAGATGATAGATGGATGAATAGATAGATATTGATAGATAGATGTAGATAGATGGATGGATGGATGGATAGATAGCTTGAGTGGATAGAGATAGATAGATGTGGATGGATGGATAGATTAGCAGCTTGAGTGGATGGATAGATGGACAGATAGATAGATAAACGTCTGCAAGGAAACCCCACTCCCCAGCTAAGAGAGCACCATGGGCCCCACAGTCCTCTTTCTCCTCCTCCTCCTCCCTTCTAGCCCTGATGACGTTGCCTAGCTGGGTCACGAGACGTCTGCCAGGTGCTCGGAGACCACCAGTTCTCCTCTTCCTCCTCCTCCACACTTCTAGCCCTGACGACGTAGCCCAGCTGGGTCCCAAAACGTTTGCGAGGACACGAGAGCCCCACGCTCTCCGATCCCGTCCTGCCGAGGTCAGCGGGGGGGGGGGGGAATAAAAATTAAAATTAAAAAAAAAAAAAAACCGGGTTGTGTTTTTGTGTTTTTGTTTTTTTCTTCACCTTATCCTCCAGCCGCTCCCGCAGTTGGGGCGAGAGGCAGTCCTGCCTGGCCAGCAGCACGGCGATGGTGGGGGCGTCCTCGATCTCGGCCCAGCGCATCTCCAGCTGGGCCCACAGCTCGGCCAGCAGCTCGCGGGGCTGCCCCTCCGGCCGGAAGCCCGCCAGGTAGGTGGCCAGCGAAGCCAGGCGCCGGTAGGACAGCCCGCGCAGGCGCCAGCGCAGCTCCACCTCGGCCGAGCGCAGCTCCTTCGTCTGGGGGGGCACCCCGAGGAAGTACAGACTCTTCAGCAGGTTGACCAGGGCCAGGTCGCGGATCCGGGGGGCCTGGGGGTGAAGAGGAGGGGGAGGAGGAGGAGGAGGAAGAGGAGGAGGAGAAGGAGAGAAGACCCGGGAGAGGGTTAAAAATATTTTTTTTTAAATTTTTCGGTTAATTTTTAAAAACAGGTCGGACTGGAATGAATAAACGAATGCACGAACGACTCGGGAATCACAGAAATCAATGTCAACGGCGAATTGGAAGGAAGGAAGGAAGGAAGGAAGGAAGGAAGGAAGGAAGGAAGGAAGGAGAGAGAAACTGGAGAGGGAAAGAAAGAAAAAGAAAGAAAGAAAGAAAGAAAGAAAGAAAGAAAGAAAGAAAGAAAGAAAGAAAGAAAGAAAGAAAGACTGGAGAGAGAAAGAAAGACAGCAGAAGGAAGAGAAAAAGAAAGGAAGAATGAATGAAAGAAAGAGAAAGAAGGAAGGAAGGAAGAGGAAGGGAGAAAGGGAAGGGGAAAAGAGGGTGGAAGGAAGGGAGGGAGGGAGAAAGGGAAAATGGAAGGGGAAAAGAATGAAAGAAAGAAAAAGAAAGCAGAAGGAAGGAGGAAGAGAGAAAGGAAGGAAGGAAAGAAAGAAAAAAGAAAGTAGGAAGTAGAGAGAAAAAGAGGAAAGAAAGAAAGAGGAAGAAGTGAAGGAGAAAGAAGGAAAGACACAAGGAAAGAAATAGAAAGAAAAAGGAAGGAGAAAGAGAAAGAAAGAGAAGGAAAGACAGAGAGACAGACAGAAAGAAAAGAAAGAAAAAGAGAAAAAGACAGAAGGAAAGAAAGAAAAAAGAAGGAGAAAATAATGAAAGGAGAGAGAAAAAGAAAGAGAAAAGGAAAAAAGAGAGGGAAAGAAAGAAAGAAGGAGAAAGAGAAAGACAGGAAAGAAAGAAGGAAGAAGAGAGAAAAAGGAAGGAAGGAAGAAATAATAATAATAAAGTTGGAAGGGACCTGGGAGGTCATGAAGTCCAACCCCCTGCTAAGAAAGAAAGAAAGAAAGAAAGAAAAAAAAAAGAAAGAAAGAAAGAAAGAAAGAAAGAAAAAGACAGAAGGAATGAAAGAAAGAAGGAGTGAGAAAGAGAAAGACAGAAGGAAAGAAAGAAAAAAGAAAAAAGGAAGGAGAAAGAAAGAAAGAAGGAAAGAAAGAAAAAAGAAAAAAGGAAGGAGAAAGAGAAAGAAAGAAAGGTAGGCAGAAAGAAAAAGAAAGAAAGGAGAGAGAAAGAGAAGGAAAGGAGAAAAGAAAGAAAGAAAAAAGAAAGAGAAAGAAAGAAGGAGAAAAGAAAGAGAAAGAAAGGAGAAAGAGAAAGAGAAGGAAGGAGAAAAGAAAGAAAGAAAAAGAAAGAAAGGCAAGCAGGCAGAAAGAAAGAAAGAAAGAAAGAAAGAAAGAAAGAAAGAAAGAAAGAGAAAGAAAGGAGAAACGGAAGGAGAAAAGAAAGAAAGAGAAAAGGAGAAAATAAAGAAAGAAAGAAAAAGAAAGAAAGAAGGAGAGAGAAAGAGAAAGAGAAGGAAGGAGAAAAGAAAGAAAGAAAGAAAGAAAGAAAGAAAGAAAGAGAAAGAATGAAAGAAAGAAGGAGAGGGAAAGAGAAAGAGGAAGAAAGGAGAAAAGAAAGAAAAAGAAAGGAAGGAAGGAAAGAAAGAAAGGAAGGAAGGAGAGAGAAAGAGAAAGGGAAGGAAGGAGAGAAGAAAGAAAGAAAAAAAGAATGAAAGAGAAAGAATTAAAGAGAAAGAAGGAAGGAGAGGGAAAGAAAGAGAAGGAAGGAGAAAAGAAAGAAAAAGAAAGAAAGAAAGGAGAAACAAGGAAGGAGAAAAGAAAGAAAGAAAGGAGAAACAGAAGGAGAAATGAAGAAAGAAAAAAAAGAAAGAGAAAGAAGGAAGGAGAAAGAGAAAGAAGGAAGGAAGGAAGGAGAAAAGAAAGAAAGAAAGAAAGAGAAAGAATGAAAGAAAGAAGGAGAGGGAAAGAGAAAGAGGAAAGAAGGAGAAAAGAAAGAAAAAGAAAGGAAGGAAGGAGAGAAAGAAAGAAGGAAGGAAGGAGAGAGAAAGAGAAAGGGAAGGAAGGAGAGAAGAAAGAAAGAAAGAAAAAAAGAATGAAAGAGAAAGAATTAAAGAGAAAGAAGGAAGGAGAGGGAAAGAAAGAGAAGGAAGGAGAAAAGAAAGAAAAAGAAAGAAAGAAAGGAGAAACAAGGAAGGAGAAAAGAAAGAAAGAAAGGAGAAACAGAAGGAGAAATGAAGAAAGAAAAAAAAAGAAAGAGAAAGAAGGAAGGAGAAAGAGAAAGAAGGAAGGAAGGAGAAAAGAAAGAAAGAAAGAAAGAAAGAAAGAAGGAGAGGGAAAGAGAAAGAGAAGGAAGGAAGGAGAAAGAAAGAAAAAGACAGACAGAAAGAAAGAAAGAAAGAAAGAAAGAAAGAAAGAAAGAAAGAAAGAAAGAAAGAAAGGCACCCCCCCCCCTACCTCCTTGTAGGTGTGATGGAGCAGCTCTTGGAAGCGCTGATCCTTTAGGATCTCCTGGGGATCCAGTTTCAGCCGGGAGGCCAGGTGGGACCAGCGGGTGATCAGCAGGGAGGCCCGGTGCCCGCTGAGGTCCTGCAGACGGTCCGGACTCAGAAGCTCCTCCACGCTGGAGGAAGCCAGGACCAGCTCTTCCCACCGGGCGGACGACTCCGGGGCTTTGCTCTCCGCCTCCTTCACCGGGAGCTTGTCGGCCACTTGCGACAGGTTGTAAGCCGTCCTCCGGGCGGCCAAGGGAGGCCAGGCCGAGCCCGGGGCCTGGGCCCAGTGGCCGGCGGGAAGGCCAGAGGGGCCGAAGGTCCGGCAGAGCCAATAGCAGCGGGGCACCAGCCGGGCCGCCATTCTTCCTGGGAGGAGTTGGAGGAGGCCTGGAGTAGGGGAGGAGTAGGGAAAAAAAAAAAAAAAGCACAGGGTTGGTAAGCGACACGGCTGGGGAAAGAAGCTGCGGAGGGGTTGAAGCGAGGGGGTCCTTGGGGGTCTCGCAGCTGGGGGCAAGGGGGGTTCCTTGCAGACGTCTCACGACCCAACTAGGGAATATGATCAGTGGGAGGAGGAGGAGGAGGAGGTGGAGGAGAAAAGGACTGGGGGATCCCTGATGCTCGCTGAACTGGGTGGTTTCCTTGCAGACGTCTCGTGACCCAACTAGGGAACATCATCAGGGCTAGAAGGAAGGAAGGAAGGAAGGAAGGAAGGAAGGAAGGAAGGAAGGAAGGAAGGAAGGAAGGAAGGAAGGAAGGAAGGAAGGAAGGAAGGAGGACTGTAGATTCCATGGCGCTCTCTGAGCTGGGTGATTTCCTTGCAGACGTCTCGTGACCCAACTAGGGAACAGCATCAATGCTACAAGGAAGGAGGACTGTAGATTCCATGGCGCTCTCTGAGCTGGGTGATTTCCTTGCAGACGTCTCATGACCCAGCTAGGGAATGTCATCAGTGCTAGAAGGGAGGAGGAGGAGGAGGAGGAAAGGACTGTGGAGGTCCCTTGCAGACGTCTCGTGACCCAACTAGGTAACAGCATCAATGCTGGAAGGAAGGAAGGAAGGAAGGAAGGAAGGAAGGAAGGAAGGAAGGAAGGAAGGAAGGAAGGAAGGAAGGAAGGAAGGGACTGTGGGGTCCTTGGTGCTCCCTGAGCTGGGTGGTTTCCTTGCAGACGTCTCATGACCCAACTAGGGAACATTATCATGATGAGAAGGGATAGGCTTTATGGAGAGGAGGAGGAGGAGGAGGAGGAGGAGGAGGAGGAGGAGGAGGAGGAGGAGGAGGAGGAGGAGGAGGAGGAGGAGGAGGAGGAGGAAGGACTGTGCGGTCTTTCCTGCTCTCTCAGGTTGGGAGGTTTTTCTGCAGACGTTTCAGGACCCAATTGGAGAACGTCATCAGTGCGAGAGGTGTGGGGAGGCTATATACTGTTTCTAAACTGTACAAGGGATTTTGTTGGTTCCTGGATAATCAACACACCCACCCTCTCTTCTAGCACTGATGATGTTCCCCGGTTGGGTCATGAGACGTCTGCAAGGTGACTCCCCAGCTCAGAGACCATCAAGGACCCCACAGTCCTCCTCCTCCTCCTCCACCCTTCTAGCCCTGATGACGTTCCCTAGTTGGGTCGTGAAACGTCTGCAAGGAAACCACCCAGCTCAGAGAGCCCCCAGGGACCTCACAGTCCTCCTCCTCCTTCTCCTCCTCTCTCTCTCTTTCTTTCCCTTTCTCTTCAAACTTTCCTTCCTTCTAGCACTGATGCTATTACCTAGTTGGGTCATGAAACGTCTGCAGGAAAACCCCCAAGCTCAGACAACACCCAGGACCCCACAGTCCTTCCTTCCTTCCTTCCTTCCTTCCTTCCTTCCTTCCTTCCTCCTCCTCCTTCCTTAACAAAAAGGAAAACAGGAAGAAGCCCTGAAGAAGCCCAGGCACGGGGACAGGCCACGATGAAGAAACCCCCGATCAAAATGGCGGTTGACACCTCAACTACGCCCTTGAGGACACCCCATCAAAGCAGAAAAAAAAAAAACCCAACTCCCAATGCAGCTAGTCCTCAATGTGCAAGGCTTGGCCCCTGGTCGCCTTTTGTTTCCCTCAGACCAGAGGCAGTCCTCGATTTACAAATGCAAGGAAGCCCAACAGTTCTGCCGCTGAGCGGGATGGTGGATCAGGGCGCTGGGCCCCAGTTGAGCCAGCCCAGTTCAGGGAATGGCAGGCGGTCCTCGGCTTTACGACAGACCGTTTCAAGTTACGACAGCCCGGAAGGGAGGGACTTAGGACTTCCGGGTTCCCCCCCCCCCGTACGATTGCCCGGGATCGCTGGATCAGAATTGAGACGCTTGCCTACCCTTGACTCAGACTTACAACGGTCGCAGCGTCCCGGGTTCCCGTTAGCGACCCTCCCACCAGCGGAGTGACGGAGGCAAGAAAAGGTCATCCAGAGGGGCGACAGGTCTCGCTTAGCGACTGAAAGGTCGGTCCTTAACAGATGGCACCGAGGACGGTCGTAAAGCGGGGCAAAGCAGCTCAACGACGGCCGCCGACTCATTTAACAACCGCTGGGAGGGAAGGGCGTTAAAATGGGTCAAAGCCACCCTGCGGTCCGGTTTCAGGACCGAAATTGCGGTCGTTAACACCGAGGATCGCCCTCCAGTCCATTCATCGCCCCTCCCCTCGGTCGTTAAGCGAGTCAGGTCCCGTTTTACGACCAGCCAGCGTCGTTAAGCAAATCTGGCGACTGGGGCGGGCTGCTTGGGGAGGAGGGGTGGGCTGGATGGCCTCGAGACGCCCCCCCGGTCTAGGACGTCCCTCTCCCGGGGCCACAGGACTCCGGGCGAGGCCGATGGGGCATGTAGTCCAGGGCAATGGAGTCCAAAATGGAGTTTTCGCACCGGGGCGCGAGGTTGGGGGGACGGGGCCGCCCCAGTCTGGCCTCCTCTGCTCCGGCAGCCGAGGACCGAAGGCCTCGGGGTCCGGCTTTCGCCCGGACGCGTCTTACCTTCCCCGGGGGCGGCCGCCGCAAAGCGAGGACCTGACCTCCACCCGCCGCCTGCACGTCCGCTGCGGCTCTGCAAGGAACGCCGCGTCGCCCCTCGATGACGTCACCGGCCGGCGGCCGCGGCGCCTCCCGACCTTGGAGACTGCAAGTCCCAGAATTCTCAGCCGTGACGGCAGAGGGGGAGGACGTCTGGGAGTTGAAGGCCCCGCCTCGGAAAAGGGCCTGTTCTCAAGGCGCATGCGCACTTCAGGAACCCCCCCCCAAACCCCACCCAGGCTTCAGTTTAGAACTAAAGAGAGCGCGGGGCCTGGTTCGGGCGAGCTTGAGGACTCCAAGTCCCAGAATTCTCAGTCGTGAGAATGGAGGGGGAGGAACTCTGGGAGTTGAAGGCCTCGCCTGTGAGACGGTTCCCAAGCTGGGAAGAGGTTCTCCAGGCGCATGCGCAACTTTAGGAACCCCAAAACAGGGGCTCGGTTAGAAATAAAAGAGACCGCGGGGCATGCCGACTTCAAATCCCAGAATTCTCAGCCACGATGAAGGATGGCGAGGAATTCGGAGTTGAAGTCCGAGGAGAAGATCCCAGTTTGGGAAGATTTCTCAAGGCGCATGCGCACTTCAGCGTGAGGAGAGAAAAAAAAGGCCACAGTTTCGGGCGTCAGCGGCGCTTCCCGACCTTGAGGACTTCAAATCCCAGAATTCTCAGTCGTGACATTAGAAGGAGAGGAACTCTGGGAGTTGAAGGCCGCGTCTCTCACGATGGCTGAGGTGAGGTGAAGCGGTTTTCAGTACGCATGCGCACTTGGGCAAAAATGGCCTCCGTTTTTAGAAAGGCCTCAGAGGGGAAAAAAAAAACTCCTCAGTTTTGAAAGTCGGCGGCGACAAGGCCGCCGGAGGGGACTTCGCCTCCCTCCCGCCACGCTCAATCCTATCCCTTCCCCCGGTTGTCCCTCCTCCGCACCTGCTTGATATTTTCACAAAAGAGCCGGGGAAGAGGCCCGAGCAGGCCCTAAGACTACGACTCCCGTCGTCCTTTGCGCCCAAGTCGGGCCGGCGAGAAGGCGGGATTCGCGGCCTCACACGCCCCTCAGCGCTAACCGGGCGCGCCGAGGCCCCGCCTCTTCCGGCCCAGCGACTTCCGCCGCTGCGGGCAATGTAGCGGCTGCGGCTGAGGAGAAGTTCGCCGGAACCGTGAAGCTCGTCGCCGCCGCTGCTGCTGCTGCTGCCGCCGTCAGGTGAGGCGAGGCTTCTCTTTTACCTCAGTCGGGATTGAGGCCTTCGAGGAGGCCGCGGGTGTCTCTCTCTCTCTTCCCCCCTTTTTTTTTCAAAAAAAATTTTTTTTTTGCAGGCTGGACTACAAAGCCCATCTCCCCCCCTCTGGTCGGGCTCGCCCTTTTTCTTCCCCCCTCCCCTTCCCAACTCCCATGGTTCCCTCAGCGACTTCTCCCCCCCGCGCCCCACAGGCCGGGGCTTATGGAACCCTGGCTGGCCCGGCTGTGGAGGATGGGAGTTGTTGTCCCCAGCTTTTGGGCGCCTGGCAGGGTTTTTTTCCCCTCCCCCCCGAGTTTGGGATGCGGGGGGGGAGGGAGGGGGAAGCAGCCAGGGGGGGTCTCTTTGGGGGGGGCTTGGCACCCCCAATTTCTTTGGGAAAAGGCCCCCCCTTTTGAGGGAGGGGTCTTTTGAGGGGGGGGTCAATGCTTGTGGGCGGAGGAGACCCACCTCCTCCTCCTCTAGATGACCTCCAGGATCCCTGCCAACCCTGTGATTCAGGAAGGGTCTCCTGCTCGAGTGGGGGTTGGACTGGATGACCTCCAGGGTCCCTTATAGCTCTGTGATTCGGGAAGGGTCTCCTGCTTGAGCAGGGGGGCTTGGACTAGATGACCTCCAGGGTCCCTTCCAACTCTGTCATTCGGGAAGGGTCTCCTGCTCGAGTAGAGGTTGGACTAGATGACCTCCAGGGTCTCTTCCAGCTCTGAGATTCGGGAAGGGTCTCCTGCTTGAGCAGGGGACTGGGCTAGATGACCTCCAGGGTCCCTTCCAGCTCTGAGACTTGGGAAGGGTCTCCTGCTCGAGCAGGGGTTTGGACTAGATGACCTCCAGGGTCCCTTCCAGCTCTGAGATTCTGGAAGGGTCTGCTTGAGCAGGGGGCTGGGCTAGATGACCTCCAGGGTCCCTTCCAGTTCTGAGATTCTGGAAGGGTCTGCTTGAGCAGGGGGCTGGGCTAGATGACCTCTAGGGTCCCTTCCAGCCGTGTGATTTGGGAAGGCTCTCCTGGTCGAGTAGGGGTTGGACTAGATGACCTCCAGGGTCCCTTATAGCTCTGTTTCTGGAAGGGTCTCCTGCTTGAGCAAGGGGTTGGACTAGATGACCTCTGGGGTTCCTTCTAGCCCTGAGATTCTGGAAGGGTCTCCTGATTGAGCAAGGAGTTGGACTAGATGACCTCCAAGGTCCCTTATAGCTCTGTGATTCTGGAAGGGTCTCCTGCTCAAGCAGGGGGTTGGACTAGATGACCTCTGGGGTCCCTTATAACTGTGATTCAGGAAGGGTCTCCTGCCTGAGCAGGGAACTGGGCTAGATGATCTCCGGGGTCCCTTCCAGCCCTGTGATTCGGGAAGGGTCTCCTGCTCGAGTAGGGGTTGGACTAGATGACCTCCAGGGTCCCTTCCAACTCTGTCATTCTGGAAGGGTCTCCTGATTGAGCACGGGGTTGGACTAGATGACCTCCAAGGTCCCTTCCAACACTGTCCTCTGATTCTGTCAGGGTCTCCTGCTTGCGCCGGGGGTTGGGCTAGATGACCTCCAAAGTCACAACTGTTATAAACATGTGCATTTATTCTGTGATATCTGCACATCCTGTGTTTGTGTGTGTGTGTGTGTGTGTGTGTGTGTGTGTGTGTCTCCAACTGTATGTATAGCTCTCTACAGGTCACCCTTGACAATGGACTCCCCAATTTCTGTTGCTTAAGTCAGACCGTTGTTAATGTGCCGCCCTTTCTGAACACCGTTGTTAAGCGAATCACCCCTTTTGTTAAGTGAGTCACACCGTTGTGAAGTGAATCACACTGATTGCTAACGGTTAGTTGCAGAGTTGTGAAGTCAACCTGGATTTCCCGGTGACTTTTGCTCATGGGAAGCTTGATCTTGGGGACGCTGCAACAGGCATCCGTGCGGAAAAACAGTCACAAGCCACTTGTTTTTCAGGGCTGCAACTTCGAACGGTCACTAAATGAGCTGTGTCGTGTGTTGAGGACGACGGGCGAATGCGTGCACGCACGCATGCGTGCCTACACATTTACATGTATGTAGGTATGCATGTGCCCTATGCCGTATATGTCTACAGGTAGTCCTTGAGTTATTACAGTAGCTTATAATAGGTAGATGGACAGACAGAGAGATATGGATGGATATAGAGATAATAGATGGAGGGATGATTGGATAGATGGAGGGAGGGATAGATGATAGAGAGAGAGATGGTGGAAAGAAAGAAAGAACAAGAGAGATGATAGAAAGATAGTTGAATAGAGAGGATAGAAGGATATAGATACACAGAAAAATAGATTATAGATAGGTAGAAAGAAAGATGGATGGATGGATATAGAAATAGTAGATGGAGGGATAGATGATAGAGATGATGGAAAGAGAATGAGAGATGATAAAAAGATAGTTTGATAGATGATAGAAAGAGATGATAGATACACACAGATTAGACAGGAAGATTATAGGTAGGTAGAAAGAAAGATGAGAAAGATAGAAAGATACGGATGGATGTGGATGGATAGAGAGATAGTAGATGGAGGAATGATTTGATAGATGGGGAACGATAGATGATAGAGATGATGGAAAGAAACGAGAGAGATGATAGTTCCATAGATGATAGAAAGAGAGATGATAGATACACACAGAGATAGATTAGACAGGAAGATAGATTATAGGTAGGTAGAAACAGATGAGATGGATGGGAGGGTGGGTGGGTGGATGGATGGATGGATGGATAGGTGGATTGATGGTGGATGGGTAGATAGGTGCATGGATGGATGGATACATGGATAGATAGCTGGATGGATGGATGGATGGATGGATGGATGGATGGATGGATGGATAGGTGAATGGATAGATGGATGGATGGATACATAGATAAGTAGATGGTGGCTAGGTGGATGGATGGATAGATAGGTGGATGGATGGATGGATGGATAGATAGCTGGATGGATGGATGGATAGATGGATGGATGGATAAGTGGATGGATAAGTGGATGGATGGATAGGTGGATGGATGGATGGATAAGTGGATGGATGGATGGATGGATGGATAGGTGGATGGATGGATGGATAGGTGGATAGGTGGATGGATGGATGGATAGGTCGATGGATGGATGGATAGATGGATGGATAAGTGGGTGGATGGATGGATAGGTGGATGGATGGATGGATGTGGATGGATGGATAGATAGATAAGTAGATGGTGGATAGCTGGATGGATGGATAGGTGGGTGGGTGGGTGGATGCATGGATAAATAGGTGGATTGATGGTGGATGGGTAGATAGGTACATGGATGGATGGATACATGGATAGATAGCTGGATGGATGGATGGATGGATGGATGGATGGATGGATGGATGGATAGGTGAATGGATAGATGGATGGATGGATACATAGATAAGTAGATGGTGGCTAGGTGGATGGATGGATAGATAGGTGGATGGATGGATGGATGGATAGATAGCTGGATGGATGGATGGATAGATGGATGGATGGATAAGTGGATGGATAAGTGGATGGATGGATAGGTGGATGGATGGATGGATAAGTGGATGGATGGATGGATGGATGGATAGGTGGATGGATAGGTGGATAGGTGGATGGATGGATGGATAGGTCGATGGATGGATGGATAGATGGATGGATAAGTGGGTGGATGGATGGATAGGTGGATGGATGGATGGATGGATGTGGATGGATGGATAGATAGATAAGTAGATGGTGGATAGCTGGATGGATGGATAGGTGGGTGGGTGGGTGGATGCATGGATAAATAGGTGGATTGATGGTGGATGGGTAGATAGGTGGATGGATGGATGGGTACATGGATAGATAGCTGGATGGATGGATGGATAGGTGGATGGATGGATAGGTGGATGGATAGATAGAAAGGTGGATAGGTGGATGGGTGGATAGATAGATAGGTGGATG